AGGTGGAGTGGCAATATTAATAAAATACAGTTTTTTTGTTAAATGGATATATATTGCCTTTTCGTGACTTCTAGCTTACTTCTATGATTATTACACAAGATACAGACAGGATAGGGTAAGACAGGGCCGAGATCTGGCGTGGCTGAACACAGCCAACGCTGCGCCGCACGGGTCGGCATGCTTTCAGCCAGTATCTAAATTGCCTCCCATCCAAAAAGGTTTCTATCTTCAGCAAATGTCATTAGTTTTCCTCTCTGCTGTCAGTATCTGCTATTTTCTGTTTTATTTTTTGAGTTTGCCATCCTATCAAGGCTACCAACCACTATTCCTCCAGTTGTTTTTCTCATACTTCTCTGCTTCCTGCCATTTCTTAGAAATAGCGTGGGGCAACCAGGAATAATCCTTGCTGCACTCAGTGAAGCGCTCTTGCCGGGGTACTTTGTAAACTACCACTTCCCAAATCCCACCCCAACCCCACTAAGAGAGAATCGCAAAGATTGCGAAAGCTTCCCAGCTGATGTGCATGTCCAGGAAGAGCGGAAGGAACGAAAATCTAGATTCAAATCCCAGTTTTGCCATTTAATAGCTGTGGCTTTGGGCAGTAACTTAACCTTCCTCAACTTCACTTATTCCTAAGTGTCCACTAGGTGCCAAGCACAGCACCAGCTGTCAAGTAAGGCCGATCATGTCCTTGTCTTCTGGGGGCTGATGGTGGAAGATACAGGAACTAAAAGGAGCTGAAGACAAGCAAACAAATGCAATCCAGGAGGGCTACAGGGGCGCAGGAAGGAGCCAGTGAAATCTCTAAAAAGGTGACAGTAAGGCTGAGTCCTGCAGGACAAGGGACGGTAGCCAGACGAGGAGGGTAAAGGAAGGCTGTTTGTAGCAGAGGAAGAATAACAAGGGCTGTAAGAGAAGGCGGCTCAGTCAGGAAACAGGAGTTCAGCAGGCCTGGGGCCTAAAGCAAGAATGAGGGCGGGACAGAGCGGAGGGTCAATAGCCAGTCAACACCCCCCTTCTTCAGGCCATCTCACCCCAGCACAGAATTTAACAGGAAGGTCTCTGCAGCTGTTTATTTTGCTGGGTGCATCTTACCTACTGTGGATTACTGAAGAGTCAATGCTCAGGTTCAAGAGGGCCAACACTGGGATTTCCTTCAAAAGGTTCAGACACTTGAGGGTGGCCCACTACTAGGCTGTAGGTAACAAAGATTTTAATGTACTGTATTTAATTAAATGTACCGCAGCCGGGAAGCAATTCAAAATACAAAATACAAACCTAACCCCGGCTCTGACACTAGCCTGAACATTCACTTTGGGCGAGAGACACCCTGCTGTGCCTTGCCTCCCCCACCCCCCCCACCCCACGCCTGATCTGTTCAAGTGAACAATATAGGTCAGAGCCCCCCAGAAACCCAAGGTGACAGGCTACTTAACTGCCACTGCCTCCCCACCCCCATCTTAAGGGGTGGGTAACCCAGAACCTTCACAGCTAGCAACATGCCCTTCCTTAATGGAGATCAGGTGCAGCTGGCAGCAAAGACACGCATCAGACAGCATCTCAAGGCCAGGTGATAAAGCTCCCGAATTCCACAGAGGTCCTTTGGCACCAAAATGCCTCAACGGTTGAAGTGGTCATTTAATAATACATGCTTATAAATCCTAAAAACAAGTCTAAGAATTAATTTATTTCTCTGCTTCCAACTTGGTTAAGAATGACTCCCTATTTAAAATGAGAGAATTCACCCAGAGAAAAATCACCAAAACAGGTTTAGAATGGCAAATACTGTCAAGATGCTTTTACTAACCGACTTGGTCAAATGCTTATTAGCAAACTTGACCACTCAACTGTTTTAATATGCCTCAGCTTCAAAAGGCCTCTTTTGTAACTACAGCAGGTGATGAATGTTAGCTGAAGTTACTGAGGTCACCATTCGCAATACATACGTAGAGCAAATCACTATGCTGTCACCTTAAATACAATGTTATGTCAATTATATCTCAATAAAACCAGAAAAGAAAATACTAGAACAATCTAGGTAACACACTACCTTAAAATATGGAGTATTCTAATCAATATTTTTGGTCTTAATGTGAAGTTTACCCTGTCTCAAATGGCATCAGAACTTCCCACACGGAATCAAACAAAATAAGAATTTAAATCACTAAAAAGCCCAGCTACTTGATTAGGCACTAAACAAGATGGCTTCTTTCTACACGACATTTCCCTCAATGAAGGTATACTTTCAGGCTAACTAGGTTTCTTGGCAAAAAAAAAGCTTAACTTTAATAACTCAACTACACATTAACATAGAAAATGTAGTTAGCTATTCAATAACTTTTACTTCTTTATTTCTGTAAGTTTTTTAATGACTTAATTTACAAGATATCAAATTATTTAAAAGGGATAACTTTTGAGTACCCTTATGTATCAGTCATTGCCAAAGAGATTTATATGTGCTATGTTATTTAGCCCGGTAAGTTAAGTACTGTCACTCCCATACCAAGCTTAAAGAGAAGTGGAATTTAGACTGTGTACTTTACTCTGCTAGTAAGTGATAAAACTGTTCTTTTAAATCAGAGCTCAAAAAAACTTGTAACTTCACGCTTGTTCAAAACAATTCTCTTTAGGTACAACAGATCTTAACTAATTTAAAATCTCCAGAAAATTAAAGTTGCATTATAGCAGAAATTTCATAAGGTGGCTGAATTTGCCCTTTAGCCTTCTCTTTAATATGACAAAATAATTGTTGACACTGAGCGTTCCTAAAACTTAAATCATTTATGGTGCTCTCTGCTGTACCTACCTATTAGAACAATTTAAAAAAACATTAACACTGTACCAATTACTTTCAGAAGCCCTGAGATACTGATCTAGTGATCCTAATAGTCTTAAACACTGTCTTCAAACTAAAAGATAGATGGAGATTGGGCGACTTGCATGCCAAAGTGCCACCATCCAGATAAAATTACTCTGTGAATAAGAGTAATTTCAATCAGAGCCTATAAAATTGAACATTTTCTCAAGATCAGAATTAGAGAGTAACCGTAAGATAGTTTAAGGGGCCAAACTCTGGAACGTAAAATGGTTTGCCAGATGGCAGATTCAATAAACAGCAAAGGCAGGCAGTAAGGGCTAGGGAGAGCAGCAACAATTTAGAAAAAAGTACTAATAAAATTACAAAATGATTTATCGATTCATCTCACTGGCCATTCTACCTTAACAAAAGGCTGGAATTATTCTCAAAATTCGTATGCTGCTTAACTAAGACCTAATGAATGCCTTACTATATTACGTCCTGAGTTTTAACACATTACATACTAAGAGAAACCCCAGGGGCATTTCATAAGCATTAGAAACTCAAAACATTTTCTTGGAGGGCACCTGCATTTATGACTGTGCCAGTCATTAACACACAACAAACTGGTTTATATTACTACAAACCAGTGTAAGTATATACTTTGTTAATTCCCTAACTCGTTAAGCAATCTTAAAAAGGATTATTTTCTGACATGCAAATTATCATACCATAAATACAATTTATTTTTGAGCATCACATCAGCTATTTTGTAATAAAGTATCAGATGTATTTTTAAAATAGTTACCATACTTGAGTACATTCAATGTAAGGGACTCAGCAAGATAAAGTTATTAAATGGAGGAAGTGTAGGCAGATTTTACTTCACTTATGTGACAGGAAGTATTAGCTATGAAAGTTTAGAAACAATAGCAAGCTCTCTCTCAGCACAAGAAAGAAAGGAAAGCATGCTGGTGAATAAGGGTAAAAGAGGAAGTTCTTAGCTAACGATCTGCCATGTATTTAAGACAATCCGAGATCATTCCCAAAAAAAACACACAAAAACCATGCTTCGTTTCTTTACAAGGCTCGGATGATAACATACTCCCCTAGGTATAATGGAGTCAGGTTTTGCAGTTTCAGTAAAACAAGACTGCTTTTCGCTCACATTTTACACATTTGTAGAGAGACAAAGGGTGGCTTGTAACATTTAAACTGTTTACTAAAGTTTGATGAATTAATTTTTTTAGGAATACGATGATAAATCATTCTTACAAAGTGTTTTAAGTTTCAAATGTGAATATACTTAACACTACTGAACAGTACACTAAAAAACAGCTAAGAAGGCAAACTTCATGTTGTGTTTTCTACCACAGAAAAGTGCATGAGAAAATAGATGTTAGTAGAAACCTGTAAACTGATGAAAGCTAAGTTCTTACAGTTAATTTTTAATAATTTGTCTTTTAACAGGTAGATTAGTTTTATGTAGTTTTTGAAGATACTCCCATATGTGAGCAAGGTCTTTAATCCTGAGCCAGAGTGAAAGGGAAGCACTTTTCTCAATTAGCATCTTTCCAATATTTACTGTCAACAAATACTGGTTCTGAAATTTTAAGGTCAGTGTTTTAGTTCGGTGAAGAGCAAATCTCGAAATTGAGAGAGCAAGGTGCGTAAGGGCGCAGGTCTGGTTTGGGGTGGAGAGGGGGCGGCCCCAGCCACGCCTCGGTCTTCGGCCCGACGGCGGCCCCGCACCCGAGGGTCGCTCAGCCCCGAGCACCGCCGTCGCCGGCTCGGCCCCGGAGCGTCGGGTGTCTGCGAACCGCCCCCGGGCTCCGCTCCGGAACGGGCGCCGGCAGGCTCGTCCGTTGGGCGGGAAGGCCTGGCACAGCCCGCTCGGCGCGGGGGAGGGTCTCCGGGGAGAGAAAACGGGGGCGGCTCCAACCCCGCGCAGGCCTCCCGCAGGCGCACCGAGGGCGGTGTTCTCGAAGGATCTACCCCTTTCCAGCTCAGATGTCATCCCCGGAGCCGCGGCCCGAGGGGCGAGCGGCGCCCCGCCCACGCCCGCCTCCGTCCGCAGCCCCTCCGCGGGCCCCCGCGCCGCCTCCCCGTCCAGGCCCCGCGCGCCCCGCCCGCGGACAGCGCGGCCCCAGCCCGGCTGGCGGGACGGCCCGCGGGGTCCGCTCCCGGGCGGCCGGCGCCTCACCTTGACCCGGATCTCGTAGGTGGTGAAGCGGCTCCGCCCGACCCCCACAGTCTGCGGGTTGCTCACGTCGATCTCGAGGAAGTTGCTGGGCGGCCCGTAGGCGTCATTCAGGTTCTGCGGCTTGGTGATCAGCCGCCGGGTGTCCGCCACGGTCTCCGCCATTTCGCCGCTGCAGCCGCCGCCGCCGCCGCCGCCGCCGCGGGCTCCCTCCGCCCCTCCGCCGCCGCCGCCTGCCGCGGGGACTCCGGGCTCGCGCGCCGCGGCCGCGAGGCGGACGAGCACGTCGGCCGGCCGTGCACCCGCGCGCCGCGCCGCTTCCGCTCTCGTGCCCGCAGGCGAGGCCGCGGACCGGCTGGGACGCCGCGCCGGGGCGGCGGGCGCAGCGGCCTGACGGGCCGGGGCCGGCCGGGCTGCGGCGCCCACAGTGCCCCAGGCGAGCGCGCCGCCGGCGGGCCGAGGGGCTGCGGGCCGCGGGCGGGCGCTTCCGGCCCTGGGCGTCCTCCCGGGCCCGGCGCGGTGGGAAGAAGGCCGGAAGCGGCCTTCGCGGCCTCGAGAGCCGCGGGGACGGAAGCCGCAGGGCGAGGCGGGGGAGGTGTGCCCGGCGGCCCCGCGGCCGCGCGCCCGGAGAGCCGCTAGCACGTGTCCCGTGGGAGAGGGGCCGCGGCGAGGGCCCGCCGGCCCCCTAAGCAGAGTGACGCCCCGGGACTGGGTGACGTGCAGCCGTTTGAACTCCCCACAAAGTCCCAGTAAGTTTTTTAAAAAAGTGTATACGTATCTCCACAGCATTTGGAACGAAATTCAAGCCTTTAAAACACGGGAAAAAACGTAGAAACAAGTAGACCCAAGTCCACCTCCAGCAAGTGCAGACTTGGAACGCCGGGCAGAAGGAGAAATTCCCGTCCCCGCCCGGAGAGCCGCGCCCCTGACGCTCATGCATTTTTTTTCAGAATTGAGTTTCAGAATCCCTATTCACTCTAAATAATCTGATTTGCCTCTTAAGCTTAAATCGTCCAGGTCATTAACAACCATTCCTAATAACACTAAGAACAGTTGGAATGAAGAAATTTAAAACAGGTATAGGTCTTTTCCAGAAAACTCAAAACATTTTCTAAATGGCCTAATTCTAGAAAAATGATTTGTCAGTGTGCCTGTATTACTGTGGGACCATGAGTTGTGTCCCTTGAATGGCATATTAAACAATCACAGCTTGATGGCTCTGTCCATAAAGATTATCGATTCATCTATGTCCAGAGATCACTAAATGGTCAGCTGATAATAACTTCGTTGTTCATGAAGACTTTCTTGAAGGTGAAAGGAGGTGATACGTCACAGGAACAGTTAGTTTATATTTTCATTTTAAATTGGTAAAGTGAGGTTCAGTTTTATCAGCCAGTCTCTTGTGAACTTCATTGATGCATCACTCCCCCAAGCCTGATCACTTCTAAAGAAAGTAATAAAATCAAATGGCTGGACCTGCAGAGAATCAGACTGGAATTGTGGCAAACCTAATGAAGTCCTTTAGCCTTCTCAAGGGCCAGTCTGGCCTCTCTTAGGACATTTTGTCAAGTCATCTTTTATATTCATTTTTCCATCCTCACACCCTAACCGACCTCCTGACAGGAAGTAGAATTTGTCACCCTAAAATATTCTATTTTGGCAAAAGGATTATTTTGAGCTAGAGGCAAACAAAACCCAACAGATTCAGGGAAAGCTTTCCCACTGCTCTGCGTAAGTTTCCTTTGCAGACGGGCCTGTACCTGGAAGAGAGCAATTCCCAGAGATGCCTTTTTCCCTAAGAAACTTATTGCACAACAGGGCAGCTTTTGCTTGCTAAACATCTTTGCCTTCCTGTAAATGGCTTCCTCTCCTTTGTAGCCCCAGACCCTTATCCCCTCCCTTAACTCAGGATATTATATTAGCCTCAATTTCCTGGCTGCCCTTTGGGTCTCATGTTCTTATGGGACTCACATATGTACAAAATTTGTTTTTCTCCTCGTAATGTCTTATATCAACTTTATTATTAGACCAGCTAAAGAACCTAGAAAGGAAGAAGGGGAATTTTTTTCACCCCTACACTCCTAAACCCCTGCTCCCAGGCTGCTGAGTGTTCCCAAAGAAAATCCCAAACTGACTGGCACCTTTGCGAATTTATTGTTTCCAACTTCAGTTGACCCTTCTACTCGCCTCATTTTATCCTCTTCTCACATTTCACACCTTTACTTACTCCCAGCAGGTAACCTCGCTCCATTCTGCACAAAGTACAAGCCATGAAGCTTGAAGCTCGGTGTGTCCTTCCTTGCCACTGAGAGACCATGCAAAATGAGTCATCCCAGAACTCCTCAGAGCATGGGGGCTAGGCCACTTACAGCTTTTGAGGATGTGGGCATTTTTGCTATTGGTATGAAGGAAATTCTCTATAGACACTGTGGCTTATTCATTAATTTTAAATAAAGCATTTACATGATTCAGAAGTCAAAACATACTGAGTATTCTTTGAAAAATCTGCCTCCGGTCCCTACCTCCAGCCATTCGGCTCCCGTTCTATTGACAGCCACCATTACCAGTTTCTTGTGTATCTTTGTATCCTTCCAGAAATATTCTGGCATGTAAAATGTGTGGGTGCACATATATTAAACAGAAATGGCCTCACAGGGTATACACACTTTTGTACTTTATTTAACAATATATCTTGAAGGTAGTTCCGTGTTTTTAACAGCAGCAAAGTATTCCATTATGTGATGTTCCATTATTTAACTTGTCCCATACTGATTAAGTATATATGGGGACCTCAGCCATTCACTATTACATGTTTCAGTGAATAACCTCGAAATATGCTATCATTACACACATGTGGGATCATATTTGTAGGATAAATTCCCGTAGATGAAATTACTGGGCCAAAAGATACATGCATTTACAAGAGATATTGCAAAATTTCCTTCTGTACAGGTTTTACCAGTTTATATCCTATTCAGCAAAGTATGGAAGAGCCTGCTTGTTCACAGCTTCACCAACACCAAGTAATATCAGACTTTTAAACCTTTACTAGTCTAAATGATATCTTTATTTGAATTTTCCTTATTATCAATGCAGTTGAGAATCTTTTCATGTGTTTGCAAGCTAGTCTTATTTCTTTTCTTTTTTATGGTTACCTTACCCAAATCCTTTGCCATTTTGATATTGAATGTTGCTCTTTTTCTTGATACACTGAAGCTTATTAAATACTAAAGGGTAAGCCTCTTGTGTAATATAAACTGCAAATATTTTCCCCACCTTAACTTCTGGCTTTGCCAATGATGGCTTTACTATGTATTTTGTAATTTAATTTATGCAGTTGAATTAATTTTTTCATGGTTTCTGAGTTTTGAAACATTCTTAGAAAGCCCTTCTTTCTCTCACTAAAAAAAAAATTCCTTTTTAAAAGTGGTATATTTATACTTTATAAATAATATCAGTCCATTTGGAACTTACTTTGGCATATAGATCTAAATTTCCCCATTTGAGTACCTAGTTGTTCCAACACCATTTATTAAACAATTTTTAAAATCCATTTTAAAATGGATTTGAGATGGTGGTATTATTATACTTGAAGTCTCAGGAGGAATGTGTTTTTCATTCAGTCCTGTATATTTCTGTGACTGTATATGTTTTAATAAAAAATATTTTGGCTTTCGTTCCTGGATCCAGGCACCAAGCTCCTAAAACCAGGAAGGTGGGGACTCTCATGCCCACCTCCTGCCCTGCAGGAAGCCAGCGGCGGCAGCAGGAGTGGGAGCCCCGCGCATCCTTCCCCTCGCTCCCCTGTGCGTCTCTTCCCTTTGGCGGTTTCTGAGTTGTATCCTTCATGACAAACCAGTAAGCATAAGGAAAGTGTTCTGAGTTCTGTGAGTTGGGTTATCAAACCTGAGAGAGAAGAGGTCATAAGAACCCCCCAAATGTGTAGTTAGCTGGATGTAAGTGGTAGCTGAGGAACCCCATTTGCAGCTGGTGTCCGAAGTGCGGGGAGTCTTGTAGGACTGAGGCCTTCACCCATGGGGTCTTGTTCTGACTCCAGGTAGGTAGTGCGAGAATTGACTTGACTTGGCCACCCGGTGGGCGTTGGACAGTCAGACAGAGAGGACGTTATCCGTTCTCATAGCACAGGAGCCAGTCTCTCCTCTTAGAGGGTAATGTCTCTGCTTCCCATGCTTCCCAGCCAGGGACAGGTCAGCACGTGCCGCTCCTCAGACAGCCTGAGAGTCTGGAGTCTCTGGGAAGCTCCTACTTGAGCCAAACACATGTTCACCCTGATTTTCTGTGCATATCGTCATAGCTTTATTTAAAGAAGAGGCTGCGTGTTGCTGCAGGCGAGCCCTGGAGGGAGCCGGGCCCGGCTGTGCACCCTGGTCAGCAAAGGAAGCCCTCCGGAAACTTGACTTTCACTCTCAGGAGGCTGGTTAGCCACCATCTACTGTGATCCTTTAAGGGGTCTTACTCCCCTCCCTGAGATCCTTTATCAAGTATTTTTTCCAAAATATACACAATCATAGGTATTGTCATTCTGTGTGTGTGACGTAGTCGTTTGCGTCTTCTTCACTGCTGACCCGGGCAGTGCCCGGCTGGTTGTATCAACTTCAGAACCGCGCTCTCTTGCTTTTTCAAGTACTTCTCCGCCGAGTATTCTTTTCTTCCAGTATCTTCTCCTTATTCTTTGTGGCAGGCAGGAGAATGTGCCTCTCAGGTCTCTAGGCTCAGGAAACGTAATAAACCTATGGCCTCAGCTGCTGTGCTCTGACCCAGTACCGCACTTGCCCGAAGGCCACGTTTCCCACAGGCTGCTCCTGGCCAGTGGTTGGCACATGGGCAAGGGTGGAGGCCTGCCCAGGTATCAGGGCTCTGAGGCCCTTTCTGGGACAGGAGGGATCCTCCATAGGTGACACTGGATCCAGTGCCTGGGAGAGTCATTAGCAGCCATTCCCTGAGCGATTCCTATTCCCAGCTGAGTGGTTGACTTGTGGACAAAATAGGCACAGGATTCCTTTTGAGACAGAAGGGCCCCTGACCTCAGAGGAAGGGATTTCAAACATCTAAGGCCAGGCAAGGTTAGCGCAGACCTGAATCAGGGCAGAAAGAAACAAGTCCCCAGCTGTGGGAGCACTGGGAACTGGGCCTTTGCATTCTTTCTCTCAAGAAAATAGACTGCCGGTTTCTGAGTGAAGTACCACCAGTGTGACCTAGAGCAGTGTTTCTCAGATATTAATGCGCACACACCTTGGGAAAGCACAGGTTCTCTCCAGGAATTCTAGGATGAGGCCTGACATTTAATTTCTAACAGGGTCCAGGTAATGCCCATGTACACGGGCCTCACCGAGCAGGGATCCAGAGAATCTCAGGAATGCCGGATATGCTGACTGATTGGTGGGGCAGGGGAAGGGTCCCATTCCAGAACCAAGGGCACCATGTGTTCTCTAACTGAACAGACATGTCCCCCTTATGACCCTTAGACCATTCTGGCCATTCATGTGACAAGGATGTGCTGAGTCCTTACAATGAGCCAGGCCCTGAGCTGGGTGCTGGTGGGAGCGGGGCCAAGAGCACGGAGAAGAGGAAGGCGGTAAACAAAGTACAGGTTTTACTTGCAGGATCTTCCAGTCTGGTCACAGGGACATAAAAATGCACAAGCCATGTCAGTAGAGGATGAGAGCCACGCAGACCAGTCTTGAGGATAGTAGTGGACTCCGGACGGAAACGACACAACTGAGGTCAGCAGTTTGTGTTCGGCAGGACAAGGGCCTGTGCTTTGGGTGCACCTGCTCATGGGAGGCACGTCCTGGACATAGAGATACACACAGGCAGAGGAGCCCAGAGGAAGGAAAAACCACAGCACAGCTAGAAGCTGCAGGTAAGGCCATGAAGGGTGTAACTGGGGAAAGGAAACCCTGGGACAAAATACCTGTAAAACTGAAATCAGTCAAAGGGAAAAATAAAGTTTATAACCCGTTCATTGCTTACAAACTGCAGTCAGGGGCCATTTCTCTTTGCTGCTCCAGCAGAAGCAAACCAGCCCTCCCCCTAACCTCTGAGGTTCAGATAAGCCCTTGATTGCCCAGGTAATTACCTATTGATTGGAGATGAACTACCTTTATCCACCCCTAAGGAACACCTGTTGATATGCAGATGCACTAAAGCGAAGTGAGATATTCTGGAAATACCACAATTTTACCCACAAAGCATATTGCAGTTCAAGTTTATGGCACTGGATACTCTCGTAAGACATTCTAAAGGAAACTGCTAAATGGAAGTGATGTGATTTGATTTTTAGTTTAGAAAGATAACCCTGGCAGAAGTAAAATAGTACCAGTTGGAATGTAGAATAGTAAGTGGACTTGAGAAATATTTGCCCGTTTCTCTGGTTTGACACAAAGGTGATATTGCACAATTGGGGACTGCTCAGACTCGAAGTGTGCGATGATAGGACGGAGGAGGTGTCAAGATGCAGACAGCCCCACAAGGACTATGGGAAGGTGGGGAAGGGCCTGGCAAATCTCTGGGGATTGGTGTCAGTGTCCCAGTGAAGGGCCTTAGTGACCAGGGCATGCGCGTGTTCCCAGGCATACTGGGTTTGATTCTTAACTGTATTTGCAAATGAAGTAAGCGCTTCGAACTATTCATTTGGGAACACGTCCTCATAGGAAGTGTTTTGTCCAGAACCTATAGGTTGGATTTGGTAGAGAGCTTTACCAGACCTGCTTGACCAAGTCTTGATCCACTAAGCTGTTTAATGCACCCAAATCTGTAATTACCCCAACCTCAAACGTTGGCACATTACTACAATGGCTTCCACCCCATTACCCTACACACTCACACAGGTACCCACGCTATTTGTTTGTTGTCCTATTTACTATACCAAACTCAAGATGTGGAAAATTAGCCTCATCTCCAATATTGAGGATAACCCTGATATTTGCATCCTTTTTGCTGTAAATATTATCATTGTTTTTCTAATCACTTGGGCTTATGAGTCATCCTTTTTCTCTTCTTTTAGATGCACCCTTCACCCCCTGCCACATCTTCATTTTGGTTGATGTTAGACTGCAGCAATCAGCATATTGCCTGCCTTCCCTAATCTCTCCTACCCATTGTGCATAATATTAGCATGATTTACATGTTACCATTCTGATAGGTTCTTACATTATAAATATCTCTTGGCTACAATTTTGATTTTATATAAACATGTCTGACTGTGAGCGAATCAGTTCCTTTTAGCCAGGGCTTGGCAAGGGAGATGGGCAAAGTCCTTAGTAGCTGTGTGACCCCAACAAAGTCACTTTGCCTGTCTGGCCCTCCCATTTTTTCATGTGTAAAATAAGGACAATAACAGGACCTACCTTACGGGGGAGCAAGGAGCATTGAAAGAGTTAACATATAAAACACTTAGAAGTGCCAGGCACATAGTAAGCCCTAAACTTCCAAGAATCTGTCTTGGAGTTAATAAGGAAAAGGGTTTAACTAGAAAGAAACAGCATGGTTGGAAAAAAAGCATAGGATGAGGCCTTGAATGCCATAATCAAGAGGGACTGGTGGTTTGTGGTCAGGTTTTTGAGCAGAGGATATTGAATGAAGCTGCATTTAGATGAATCTAGGAGGGGAAGGCCTGATGATGCTCTTGACCAGAAACCTGAGCTTAAATCTATTGACAGAACGTTTCAAAGCCTTGATTTATTTACTATTGTTTTAGATTCAAAACACTGGTTTTCACAGGGCATTTGAGTCTAATGTAATGTCAGTTAATTAGGTCCCAAGTAAAACAGCTGCATGGGAGGTTTGCATTACCGTAGCTTGCATTTGAGAAAGTCAGAATTTAAAAAAAATGGTTAGTTCCAAAGTATATTTTTGATAAACCAGCTTGAATACTGCATTGTGGATAACAAGGTTAAATAAAGGTTCTAATAAGACAAACAGCGACAATTTAAATAAATCAGATGTTTTTGCCGAAGATTACTCTGTGATTTTCTCCAATTATTCATGACATTTCACCCATTCATATTGTGATCTGCTTTAATAGTGGAAGGAAAAAAAAACCCTCGTCTCCTTGTTTATTCTTTGTTCTCAAGGAGATAAGCTGTTTATAAAGATACGTTATTTGTTATTTAAATCACTTTTACTGAAGTTGTTTATTTCCTTGTTTCAGTTTCTAAAAATATTGCAACAATTGTAACGCTTCTTAGAGATGTCTATTCAATTCAGAGTGATTTGTACTGAATTCTTTGCTAAATGGGCACAGGTGCTGATGAGTATAACATGGGAGAGTGAGTCAAACTAATAAATGCTAAAAAAAAGATAATGGGGAATATACTTGTGTCAACTTTTGAAATCTGTAATTAAAAGCATTTTAGACCTACAGTCTCAGATATTTGTAAAGGTCTACCTCTCTACCTGCCATTTCATAATTTTATTATTACTATTTAGTAATAGTAATAATAATGAGGATAATAAATTAGATAATACCAAAACTAGAAGCAGAAAAATTGCATAATTTAAATCCACAACCCTATTTCTTAGAAAATGCCCTTTTCTCACTTTGCAGACTTTTAAGATCATAATTATTATATAAAAGTAATTACATTAAAAATTTGCCTGGTAGTACAGTATCAAATTAAAGCTGAAAAATAGTACTTGTAAACAGAATTATGTATTTTTTTAGGTTCCTGAACAGCAAACACAGGAAATTATATCTCCTGCTTCTTTCTTTGCTATTTCTAAAATTACCTCTAAAATAAATTTTGATGATTTGATACTAGAAAGCTACATAGTAGTATAGCATAGTTTGATATTACACATCTTGCCCTTCAGTCTATAGACCTAAACTGTGGCCTATCCTACGTAATCAACAAGATTGAAGTATGAAATAAAGCCAAGTGGATCTGATATTTTAAGGGACAGTTGATTATTTCCAAGAACTGAAGTTTCAAAATCCAGCTGAGTTGATTTAGACTAAAGAAATGAAGCCTGGTACCATAAATTATAGAATGTATTCCTGCTGAGTAAGTCCTGGATACTGCAAACTCAGATCTGTGGATGCACATCTCTCTCCTTGAAGCTGATGAGAATTGCTTGATGTAAGTGAGATACATGCTGGGAAAATTGAGCCCTTATAATTGGTGTGTATAGACATCAGCGTCTCATGACACTTTTCCTTAACTGGTTCCTTCCTTGGTTTTCTCCAGTCTTGATTTTGGAAGAAGATACTCAACTATGGAATGAACCCTTCTTGCATTAGCTCTGTCCTATGACTAAAGGCATTCAGGTTTTATCATCTAACTCTAGAAAAAGAACTTCTGTTATCAGTAAAATTGGGTAAGTAAAACTTAACCTTGACTTAAAAGTTATCCAGGTAATCTCCTTGAGATGTCCATTTGAAAATAAACACCCAGTGGATTCCCTTGAAGTCTAGGCCCAGTTGTGGTGAATTTGAGTGTAGGCAGCTGATGCAAGTACTGACACTTACAAACAAATGAGTCCACAGAATT